TCCAGCGGGGCTACCCTGTTTTTAAGCAGCAGCTGCGAAGCTGGGCCCTGCCACTCAACGGGCAAGTGCTTATGGTTTGTTAGACGCCTCTTGTGAGAAGCTTGATCAAAGCTCAGTCGCCGTCCGGCACCAGCTGCCCTTTCTTCACTGTTTTGCTGACTTCTTGGGAGAACTGTCCGGCAGAGCTGTCCTTCCCCGGTTCACTGCTCCAGCTCTGGAGAGAGTCCAGCGGAGGGCAACAAAAATGATCAGGGGGCTGGAGCACATGACTTACGAGGAGAGGCTGAGGGAACTGGGGTTATTTAGTCTGAAGACGAGAAGAGTGGTCAGAGTGGCCATCCCCATAGGAATGGTATAGTCCTGTCCATCCTGCGTCTGCCCCAGGAAACACACCCAATTGGCTAAGTCCAGGACAAGTCCCAGTTTGTGTAAATCTCCTGCCCCCAACACATTTCGCACATCATTACAACCCCACATAATCTCCCCTTCCCCCCAGATTCCTTTGATCTGTCCCCGCCTCAGGGTTAACGGTGTCTCCCCTCCCGTTGCCCCTACAATTGTCACAGTTCTTCTGAGGGCCTCCCCTGCCCCCCTGTGGTTAAGCTGATGGCTGCTCCAGGATCTATCAAAAAATCCCTCATGGGACTCCCTTCGATCACCCCCTGGAGCATGGGGCGACCAGATGTGTCCCGTCCTAAACTGGGAACATGGACAGGATGCCTCCCAGGGCGCCCCTAAGTCGCAGCACCCGCCTCTGTCCCTCCCACTGGTTCACAGGGGGGTCCGGGTCCTGGCACCGAACACATTCCTGTCTCCAAGCAAGATTGTGTGCCTGGCATTTCAGGCAGTCATAGAAGCATAGAATCATAGAATATCAGGGTTGGAAGGGACCTCAGGAGATCACCTAGTCCAACCCCCACTTACCTAAGGAACTTGTTCAAATAACTAATTCCCCTCACTGTTAAAAAATGCACCTTATTTCTCGTCTGAATTTATCTTGCTTCAGCTTCCAGCCTTTAGGACTTCTTATGCCTCTGCTAGATTAAAGAGCTATCTACTATCAGAAGTCTCTTCCCCAATATAGGTGATTATATGCCAGGATCAAGTAATTTTTAACCTTCTCTTGGATAAACTAAATAGATTAAACACCTTGAGATGCTTTTTTCCAGGCTTTGAATCCATCCCAGGGCTCTTCTCCAAACCCTCTCCAATGATCTCAACATCCTTTCTAAAGAATGAACACCCGAATTAGACATAGTGGGGCCAAGTCTCTGCTGATGTAACTTCATTTAAAGTTAATGGAAAGTTTGGCCCCGTATTCCATTGCTGGCCTCATCAACTTCAGCTCCCTGCTACTATAACACTGCAGTTGGTAGGCTCTGGTGAGAGAACCTCAGAGCAAAGGTAGTTTCTGATTCATAGATATCTCCTTTGTTATTGTGGAAGGAAAAAACCATGTGTTATTCTCACTCAGATGACTTGATGCACATTTAATGTAATAGCAAAGGACGCAGCCAAAGCATGCTTCATAGGAGACAATTTACCGTGACTTCCTAGGACAGGTGGGTTTTTTTTTTTTATGTTTTAAGACAGATGTTTTATTGGAAACTTTAAATATACTCTGCAGACATGACACGACACCCAGCTGGGGCCCTGGGGAGCCGGGTGGGGATGCGGTGGGGGAGAGGCATGACGGAGCCAGTGGCTCATGAGTGCTCCTCGGCCAGCTTGTCCGCCTTCGCCACAGCCTCCTCGATGGGGCCCACCATGTAGAAGGCCTGTTCCGGCAGGTGGTCGTAGACACCTGCCAGGATCTCCTGGAAGCCCTTGATGGTTTCCTTCAGAGGGACCAGTTTGCCCGCATGACCAGTGAAGACCTCGGCCACCTGGAAGGGCTGGGACAGGAAGCACTGGATCTTGCGGGCGCGGGCCACTGTCAGCTTGTCCTCCTCCGACAGCTCGTCCAACCCCAGGGTGGCAATGATGTCCTGGAGGGATTTGTAGTCCTGTAGGGTCTTCTGCACCCCCCGGGCCACGTCATAGTGCTCCTGCCCCACGATGTTGGGGTCCATGATGCGGGAGGTGGAGTCCAGAGGATCGACGGCAGGGTAGATGCCCAGCTCAGCAATGGCGCGCGACAACACAGTCGTGGCATCCAAATGGGCAAATGTGGTGGCAGGGGCAGGGTCGGTCAAGTCATCAGCTGGCACATAGATCGCCTGCACGGAGGTGATGGAGCCCTTGCGGGTGGTGGTGATCCGCTCCTGCATGGTGCCCATGTCAGTCGCCAGGGTGGGCTGGTACCCCACGGCCGAGGGGATTCTGCCAAGCAAGGCGGAGACCTCAGAGCCAGCCTGCATGAACCGGAAGATGTTGACTATGAAGAGCAGCATGTCCTGGCCCTCCTGGTCCCTGAAGTACTCTGCCACTGTCAGCTCTGTCAGCGCAACCCTGGCGCGGGCACCCGGGGGCTCATTCATCTGCCTGTAAACCAGGGCAACCTTGGAGGTTGTGTCCTTCAGGTTGATGACCCCCGACTCGATCATTTCATAGTACAAGTCGTTCCCTTCGCGGTTTCGCTCCCCGACGCCAGCGAACACCAAGTAGCCACCGTGGGCTTTCGCCACGTTGTTGATCAGCTCCATGATCAGCACGGTCTTGCCCACGCCGGCACCGCCGAACAGACCGATTTTGCTGCCCTTGGCGTACGGCGCCAGCAGGTCCACCACCTTGATGCCGGTGACCAGGATTTCTTGCTCTACGCTCATCTCAACAAATTCCGGGGCTTCGGCGTGGATAGCAGCAAACTGTTTGGTCATTATGGGGCCTCTCTCATCGATGGGCTCCCCAATCACATTCATGATTCTACCAAGGGTCTCGGGGCCT